GCCACCTCCATACCCTCCCCCCCACGGCTGCACGTGCAGCAGGAAGAAGAAGGAGGAGGGGGGGGGGGGGGGGGGGGGGGGTGGCGGGGAAGAAGCCGCCCCACGTCCACAGAGGGGTGGCGCACAGGGAAGGGCAGGGGCGGCTGCACCGAGGGCAGGCGCGGGTAGGGTAGGGGCGGCTGCACCGAGTGCAGGCGCATGTGAGGCTGGGGCGGCTGCTCGAAGGCAGGCGCGAGGTGAAGCAGAGGCGCCGTCGCGGGCGCCAGGGGCGGATCCGCAGCGGCCCAGGGCACCGTCGCGGGCGCCAGGGGCGGGTCCGCGGTGGCTCAGGCCACCGTCACGGGCGCCAGGGGCGGGTCCGCGGCGGCGCAAGGCACCGTCGCGGGCGCCAGGGGCGGGTCCGCGGCGGCTCAGGGCACCGTCGCGCGCCACGGGGCGCACGACGGGCAGGCAGGCAGGCAGGCAGGCACCGTCGCGGGCGCCAGGGGCGGATCCGCTGCGGCTCAGGGCAGAACAAACGTCACACGCCACCCGTGCGCGGGACACAACGAAAATCGCCACGCGCCCGAGGCGCGCGACCGGAAAAGCAGATGCGGAAGCGTGAGGCTGGCCCACAGGCCAGGACGTAACAAGCTCTAATGCCATGTTAAAATAGTGGCACAAGTGGTAGTTAGGTTTAAGTGAGGGCCTAGGCTTAGTAGCCTAGGCCAAGGGAGTCGAGGGGGTTGTGCCAAGTCGAGAGAGTCGAGAGAGGAGAATGAATGAGTTCACTATGCAGAGGTTCACAACATATAGGGCAGGATAAGGGGGGGGGGTACACCACCAAGCAGGATATCAAGATAACTACACTAACGCTAGACCTACATGCAGTTATAACAGCATAATTCTGACAGATTCTGCCCAGGCAGTTTGTAACCGTCTCGAGTCGCACTGTTGGGTTTCGCTGCAATAAGGGAATGTACCCCTTAGAGTACATGGCTAGCCTAGGTCGATTAGAATTCCCTTGTACTCTTATTTATATTCTTGTATTCCCATGTTATTACCATCTCAAGCAATTTACATCCACTCTGCTATTGAGGTCAAGGGCCCATCACTACTCAGACGTGTGCGAACCCTCCTGGGGTGATCCTAGGTACGATCAACATCTGATCGCAACTTGGTATGAGAGCGACTCGGGAATCCTTCGCACTGCCACCTCCGAAATCTTCGGCGAACGGAAAGTGGCGTCCGGCACACGCTCACACGTGAGAATGGCCAGAGGATCTAGTGGTCAGACGAATCTGACGGCTGAAGCGCAGACCAACCCGGCTGCGACAAGTGGGGAAACGACGACGATTGGAACCGCCGCCCTCGCATAGATGCTTCGGCGACTCACCAGCCTGGAGCAACAACTCCAAACATTGTGGAATGGCGATGCGGGAACATCTTCCCAACCCACTCAACCGGCCTCGAACGGCCACAATACCGCCCCACACACATTCTCCCTCGACACAAATGGCTCAACACCCAAGACTCCCCGTCCCAGCGAAGAAGCAATTCCCTCTGCGCAATCAAGGTTTTTGAGCATATCTAAAATAAAGACAAGTGTGTGTTTTGACGGCAAAGACTTCTATACGTGGAGCTTCGAGCTGGAACTACTGCTGCAAAACGCGCAAATATTTCATTACTTCGACGGGAGCAACTCGGGACCCGCTGATGACACTGCTGACGCCCGGGCGCAGTACCACAACGAGTCGTTGATGGCGTACGGCGTCCTCCTGCGGAATATGTCGCCGGCGGAGCAGTTGAGCATTCGCTCGTACAAGACGACTCCCGCTCCAGCCCTCGATGCTTGGTGCCATCTAAACGGCGTGTACCAACCGAAAGATCCGGTTTCATCGAACCGCCTGCTCCAGAAGCTACATCAACCGCTGTCGAAGCTTACGTGATCATATCGCGAAATTGGGAAGCACGATCTCATAAGAGATTTTCGTGAACATCGTGCTTCAATGGCTCGGACCAGAGTGGCGGCCCTGCAAGGCGCTTCTCCGACAATAGGGGGTCATCTCAGAGGCCGGCCTATGCGCCGCCCTTCTCGTCGAACAAAGGGATATGGATCAGCAGCGACCATTGCCGCGACGAGACCGGGAACGCCTCGCTTTCTACGCCGAAAACACGGAGGAGCGACGGTTGCGGCGCCTTTACTGCAAGATTTGCAGAAATTTCGGGCACCTGGCAGATTGATGCAAATTCCGATCTCACCTTCGTCAGACCGATCCGAGCAACTGGTCCGACCGACAAGACGCACGAAATGACACGCGTCAAGCCCAGGGGCACCAGCCCCCACCGCGCAACCTGAACCCAGCCGTTCAGCATCAGCAGCAGCAGTCGCCACAGACTGCCCCAGTCCGCAATGTCATGGGCAACATGACAATGACGAGTGGATCCTGTTGTCCCCGCGCACGCTCACCGTCACCTGAGCCAGCACGCCAGCCAATCGGAGCGTTCTCGAACAACAATCCGTTCAGCACGCACCACGATTTCACCAACGACGACGAACACGACAGGAATCTCCCAGTCCCGCTGCTTGAAAGTCCCCCGCACATATCTGCTCAGCGGGCGGCTCCGATCGATTGGATCTCACGTGAGCAATTTCTCAATTTTGACACATCGCATATCGTTACCCCGCAACTGGCGCTGCTCGCACGTAACGACAACAGGCGCTACAACACGTGGTACCTGGCACACACTACCGAGGCTGAAGACGAAGAGGTGGAAGTGACGCGAAGGGTCGTATGGTTACGAAGGGATCTGGACCGTTGGGTAGACAGCATCAGGCACCAGCAGTGACGAGGATTCTGCCCAGGCAGTTTGTAACCGTCTCGAGTCGCATGGTTGGGTTTCGCTGCAATAAGGGAATGTACCCCTTAGAGTACATGGCTAGCCTAGGTCAATTCGAATTCCCTTGTGCTCTTATTTATATTCCTGTATTCGCATGTTATTATCATCTCAAGCATTTTACATCCACTCTGCTATTGAGGTCAAGGGCCTACCACTACTCAGACGTGTGCGAACCCTCCTGAGGTGATCCTAGGTACGATCAACATCTGATCGCAACACGCTAAACAAACCGCGCGCTAGCATACTCGAGAATGCGACGACCGAAAGTGTGTCAATCACTAAATCGAGCGCGTACACAGACCCTTACAACAACTCCGGCCCAAACAATAGGTCTCTATACGAGGTATCCTCTTGGCCACAGCCTCTGATGTAACATCCTGCTTGCGACTCTGTGCTCCTTGACTGAGGCACAGATTTGTTGCTTACTCCTGTGTATGGCCGATACCTACTTTCCGATGTCGCACGAGCATAATTGACCGTTGCAAACCGGTTGCCAGCGCTGCACTGACGAAGCGCAGGATTGTTGTGTGGTAGGTGACGGTTGTCGAGTGCTATTTTGAGGTTGTTCAGCAGTGCGTCTATGGGACGTCACACCGCGCCCTGCAAGCGAGGCGGAATTTCTGTTCTTCAAGTAGAATATAGTTGCATGCGATTCACTGTGGAGCGTTCAACCTTCGCCTCTAGGCTTGGCGAAAATGGCTCTCGCAAACCTTCGTCCAACACCTCTCAAGTTCAGCATTTTTTAACCCTTGCCATTCTAGACTGGGGCTTTAAAGTGTAGCATTCGAATCTGAGGTCGCGTTCGAACTTGAACAAGTGATGTTTTTGAAGAATGAATGCACAAGGGAGCGCCCACAGTCTTGAAGTTTCGCAACGCGGTAGCTTGTTACGAAGTTGGTTTCTTCGTCACAACCAGGAATGCGACCTGAAAACGGAGAAACTAAATCCATCCAGCCCTATATTTGCAGTGCGGATAAACGAATTTACCCAGATTTACAGGGTAGGCAGCACTCATAAAAAAAACAGCCTTTGTTGCCCCTTCCGCTGACCACCTGGCCGCCAACCTCCGAATATATCTCAGCGGACAAGCGAGTCCGCCCGGGGGAGCTCGCTGCCCGCGGGCAAAAAAAATAAACCCATTCGGGCATGCATCCGGTCAGGGAGGCATCAACCCTAAACACGGGGAGGCATGGATTTAGGGTTGATGCCTCCCTCGGATGGCATGCCATCCGATGGGGTTTTAGTTTTTTTCTGCCCGGGGCAGGATGTCGTCAAGTCGTCAACAGGTCGTCAGGCTTGACGACCCGTTTCCGCTGGGATATTCCGCATTTCACGCATATGCCTGCTGCTGTTGCGCCTGGGGGCTCAGATGGAGGACAGCCAAGCCAAATAGGCCAATCAGACGTTGAAGCCTTCCCCTGCGGTCTGTCTCATCTCATCGAACTTTCCAGGTGTTAACCACCCCCCCCCCCCCCCCCCCTTCCTCTCCTCCTTTCCTCCCCGCCCCTCGCCCCCCTCCCCCCTCCCTCCACCCTCCCTGCCATGCACACACACCCTCCCTTCTGTGTGGCAGCATGTGGTGGTGACGTGGCGAGTGAAGCGGTTCCAAGAAATGGCGTCGATATCCACTCCCTCCCACACTCATGTTCTTTGACGTGCAGTACCGATACATTTCGGGGACTCCTGAGTGGTCTGTTCAATCCAATGGTACGTCATGTCAGGTGCCCGCGGGCACAAAAAAGTAAACATTTTTCGGATGCCATGCGGCTCGGGAGACATAAAGCACTGCTGCACACGCCGCATTGTGCGGTTGTGTTTCATGGCTAGGACATCAAGAGCCTTCACCTCGCAACAAGCTGTCATACTCCTTTCTTCCAAAGCACGCGCATTTTACCAATATTGTACTTCGTTTGAGCGGACGCCCATTAGCCAGAAAGGAGCGCGTATAAAGGAAGAGTTTTCCATAAGGAAGTCAGCAGTCCGGTGTCTTTTTTCCTTCTCGTTGAACGGTTCTAAACCTCGTAGCATTCGCAGCGTCAGTATTTCACGACCCGCATTCTTCTGAAAAGCCCTCTCGTTCCCTCTCACCCCTGTCCGTTCGCCATCACGCACGCATCGCCATGTCGCTCCGGCCCTTCACAATCTGCGCGCTTCTCGCTCTTCTCGTGTGCGTAGCGGAAGCGGAGGTGACAAAATCTGCTCTGATCAGCGAGCTTATGAATGCGCGCAGGGCAATAACGCAGATGAAGTACCTGGGGCAGTACTCGCTCGTCGCCACCGCCATAGATCAAGCCCTTCCAAACATGTGTATGCGAACCTACTTTTCCTATAAAGTTTTGCATTCATTCATGGTTCTATATTGCTATCTTTGAGAGTAATATCCCTCGTACATTTTCCGCTTTCCCTGTCTCCCATAGTAACCTATCCACTACAACCCCCTCCCACCTTTCCTCCCCCCTTCCCCCGTGTTCCACCGTCTTCTTGCTCGCAGACGACATCCCCGATGATGAGGACCTATCCCAAGCCGACCAAAAGACCATTCTTCTCCCGCAGAACGCGGCGCTCGGTCCGGCCGGGGTCGGCACGCTTATCAGAACGGGCGCCGCGAGCGCGAAGCAAGCTGTCAAGTTCGAGAGCATGGGCCTCCTGAATGTGCTGGACGGGTATTTCACGTTCAAAGAGATTAAGAAGTGCAGCAGCGTTCCGACCATGCTAGATGGTCGCCAGCTGAAAAAGTATTCCGTTCCGCTGCCGTTGCGCAAGGGTTCCGCGGTCGCTCTAGGGCAGAGGAACAACCCCTTGTCGTGGTCGCAGATCGTGAATCCGGGAATCTACAAAGGAAGGTTCTTCATATTGCATGGCGTAGACGCTCTGCAGCAGGCGTAAATTCCTGGATAGGCTCAGAAGACACCTTTGAGATTGTCTCGGGACAGGAGCCATTTTCGAAAACATGGAAGTGGGCCTCAGAGTGAGGTTCACTCACATGCGTGCAGAACCTATCAGCTGCTTGTTGATGTAAATTGCAGTAAGGAAATGCGGACAACCTGTTGTTATTTCGAAACATCTTTGTTTGTTTGTGTGTGCGCACATTAGATATATTATACATATTATATATAGTCCTATCTAGTTAATGGTTGGATTTCTTGTTCTCCAGCAACCTCCAGTTTAGCCGGCACTCAGTACAGTATCGGGAAGCAATCAAACCAGGATGAAATCAACCGGTACAAGAAGGACGAACACGCAGGGCAACTTACACGTATTTGAGAGCAGTGGCAATCGAAAACCTTCTGCGACGTAACAGGGAAACACCTGTCTGATCTGAACTCGAGGTTCACCAACGTGCCGCAAGACTTCCGCCAAGGCCAAGCAAACAAACATATGACCTAAATATGAATTGGCCGAGTCGCTGAATACACGAAACGAGGAGGTTCATAGAAGCCGCGTCGTGTTACACGCAGCCTCGCAATTTTAGTGCCAAAATAACAACTTGGACGCGCCATTCGATCAGGAAAGACAAAAACTGCGGACGCGGCGGGTGAGAGAGCCGAAGGGCAACGCACGTCGGCGCGGAATGCGCGGAAGAGAAGTGAGGCGCTCAATGTGGGGACGCGGAAACCGCGGAGTACTGGCATTGGCGCTCTGGCTCCTGGCGGAAGCGTGCTCTTTTCCCTGTTGGCGCACCACGCGGAAAGCGCAGCGGCGCATCTTCCGCCGCGCGCCGCGGATGGCAGCAGTGATCCGCAGAGACGGGCGGAGCGCGACTCTGAATCCGCGGAGGAGGAGACTGTCGGGCGATTGGGGGAGATGGAAGCGGAACTTCAAGTCGAGGGGGGGAGTTCTGGAGTGGCGGAAAAGAGGGGGGGAGCGGTAGGAAGGGAAAGAGGTGGCGGGGAAATGGTACTAACGGGCGGATTGGGAGGGGGGGAAGGGGAGGGAACAGATGATACAACTGAAATTCAGAAGGAATGGTAAGTGAGGAATAGCAACCTCTGTGCTCATGCGGAGGATTTGAGGCGTCTGAATAAGGTTCGGTAAGATGATGGGGAGTGGTTAGCGGCTGCTGTGATTCCTTGAGGGTTTGGTACAGAGCTGGCTTTTCTGTGGTGAGGTGACGTGGCACCCCTAATGTAGTAAGGGCCTTACCCCCATCCCCACTCCCGCAACAAGGAACAACCTCCGGAATCCCAACCGTACTGCTACTCTCCCCACCGTGATTTCCCCAGGGGCTATGCCATATCCTTCGAGCAGAAGAAGCAGCAGCTCAGGGCGCTCAAGGCGCAGGGCCGCTGCAACGACCACCCCAAGCTCTTCCGCAAGTGGCTGTGGGAGAGCGCCTTCCAGGAAGGTTCCCTTGCGTGGGTGCCTCAGCCCGGGAAGTACATTCTCATGGATTGCCAGAGGAGCCAGGTGGGCTGGATGTGGTTGAGTGGGATCGGATTGGGTGTGGGTGGGATTGAGTGGGGCTGTGTGGGGTTAGATGGGGCTGGATGGAGTTAAATGGGTGGGAGTGTGGCAGCTTCGATGTTGCCAGGCGGTCGTTTCTCCCTTCAATCCTTCTGATTTCTGACCAATTACATGGCTGCAATTGATGACACCTGTTGTAACCCGCCCCCACCTGCCCCCATGGCCCTTACTATGGACATTTACCTCATTATTCTTGCTCCTTTCGTCCACATCTACACTCTCAACAAGCACCCACACCCACACCCACACCCACACCCACACCCACACCCACACCCACACCCACACCCACACCCACACCCACACCCACACCCACACCCACACCCACACCAACGCCCATGTCCACACCCACACCCACCAACGCTCACATCCGTGCCCCCTTCCCTCACCTCCTCCAGGCGAGCAACCGCATAGGGTGCATTCGGCGGCATCTGCTGCTAGCAGGCATGCTCAATCGTACCCTCGTGGTGCCCTTAAAGCCCGATGAAGTTTCCCGCTTCTACGACCGCCGCACCTTCCTGCATCTGCCACACCTGCACCGCTGCTACGGGCCCCGCTCTGCCATCCCGCTCCAGCAGCTTCAGGAGGAGGTTCGGGGGGCAGCGGTGAACGGGGGCAGTATGAGTGCAGCAGCGGCGGGACGAGGGAAAGGAGGTGCAGGAGGCGGCGAGAGAGGAGGCAGGGTCTGCAGGAGAATCTGCTGCTGTTTCTGAGGCGCCTCAGGAGACGGAAGAGGAGGGGAGTGAGGAGGAAGGTGCAGTCATGGTGCAACAGGTACTGTGTCCATACGTGGCATGCTACATGCAGCCATGGGCGAGCAAGCCTTCCATGCTTCCGGAGCTAGAGGGCGTGGTATACCACAACATGACGTGGACTACCCTCAACATGCCTCTCTCCCACATGTTCTCTCTCTCCGATCTTCGTGCCCTGGAAAGCTCCCTCCTGCCGACCACTGATGTTGTGCTGTTTGGAGACTCCTACCAGTGGAACCTTTACGGAAACCTCTCGAAGAGCGTGGGGCTGCCGTTTGGGGGTAGTGGTGGTGGTGGATCAAAGGGTGGAGAGTGTGCGAATCGGCTTGCAGTGCAGCCGCACCCGGCAGTGCTGGAAGCAGCCTTGGGATTCGTGCAGCAGGTCATCTGGAAATCTCCAGTCACCTCCTCTTCATCTTCCCTGTCCTCGTCCTCCTCCTCTTCATCTCCCTCTCCTTCCTTTTCCTCCTCCTCGTCTTCGCCTCCCTCCTCTTCCTCCACTGCCGTTTCGCCTGTCGTCCCAATACCAGAGGGCATTACAGCAGCAGCCGATGCCTCCGCAATGCCTTTCACCGCTGCTGTCGCTGCAGCAGGCCAGAACAGTGCTGCAGAGGCTGGCGCAAGACAGCAGCAGGGCAGTGTGAGCAGTGAGATGATGGGCAGTGGGGGGGAGCAGAGGCAGCCGCAGCGGTACCTGGCTGTGCACTGGCGGCGGGGGGATCTCCTGCTGCTGTATCAAAAGATCCTGGCGTTTCTCACTGTGAAGAACGCTGGGAGATGCATTGTGGAGAGGATGGTGAGATCGGGGAATATTTCCACGGTGTTCCTTGCAACGGATGCCGATGAGGAAGAGGTGGGGCAGCTGGAACGAGTGATTAGGAGCCATCTGCCCGGGGTGGAGATTGTGCAACTGCCGGAGGAGCTGACAGGGCAGCCTTGGGCGAAAGTGCTTGAACCGTTTCGGTTTCAGAACCAGGCGTTGCTCCGGGCGACACTTGACAAGGCCGTCTGTGCGCTGGCTGATGTTTTCATGGGAACACCGAAGTCTTCGTTCTCGTCTGATATCGAGCGGCTGAGAACAGGTTTCAGAATATCCACTTGTGAAGATGAGTATATATGTGAGTATGTTAAGATAGTGTGACTCTCAACGCGCTATGCTGTTGTTCCAATAGGGTTGAGGTTTTTATGCTCCTTGCTTCGGCCTGTAGCGTGAATGACTCCAGGGCGTGGCGTGATGGCGTGGTGGCGTGTGCCTGGCTGAGCTGTTGGAGAAAGTTCCTTCATGTTCCACGAAGAAACCGCTGGGCTGACGTCAACCTCAACTTTCACCAAGCAAGTTTCGAACACCAATCATCACAAGTCACGTGTCGCTTGCTTCTCGGCCCACGACTCTTCACTCATGTACCAGGCTTCCAGCTCCTCAAGGCCGCAAGGGGCGCGCCGCGAGCAAGGCTGGTGTGGTGTGGGGGGGTCAGTTTGAAGCATTCCCCCTTTTCCTCCCGGCAAGGTAGTTGCGGCTGGGTTTCAACGGGACAGCTCCACTAGCATAGCATCACGCGCGCGAACAGAAGCGCGGAGACGAACTCGGGGGAGAAACCCGGCGAAGGCAAGCGGAAGCCATCACCTCCACCACCCACCAATTTTTCTCGCAGCTGATTGGTTGCGTGGTGCGCTCCGTTTTTGTTCGATCCTGTAATAAAGTACTAGTCACCCGAACCATCATGTATGCCTGCACGGTGAGAAAATGATCTACATTCAATGTACTTCGGTTTATTGTTGTTATACAGCGGTTCAGCAAGGCTCGGCGAGTTTCTGGGAGTTGTCCAACTTCATCGTGACACACCTAGTTTCTGGTGATCATAGCATCTTTCTCCTCGTTGCCACCATTCTCGTTGGAAGTTGCAACAACGGCGACGCTTTCGCGCCTCACTACTAGATTTACTTGGCACTTTTTTAGAGCGTCTCATTTTGAGAGCGTCTCAGTGCGAGCTGGCTGGCGTTTCGTGCTCGATACGTGTAGCTCGCGCAAACGCTTTCGTGACGAGCGCCGGATTTCGTGATTCGTGCTCGTACTAATCAATACGGTTCGTTCTGTGGCATCCTTAGGATCCTTCTCATCCCCGTTGCGGTGACCCGTTCCGGGGACCCGTTCCGGTGACCCGTTGCGGTGACCCGTTGCGTAATATTCACAGATCTCCATCCCGCGGCGTGTGGCCTGGCCTTGGCGACGCTTGCGTGCGTCGCCGGCGATGAATATCATCGCGAACGAGATTCCACGCGATGAAGGGCCGTCGCCATGTGAAGCCGAATTGAATCAATCCGAGGGAAGTACTTTTCCCCCGACTTCATTTGAATCGAATCCACCAGCGACGGATCCGTCGGCGATGAATCTATCCGAGTCGAATCTACCCGGGACAACCTTATCCGAGCAAGGGCGAGCGGAGCATCCCGATGTGGAGCCTGTCCGCTCGCCCACTCCCCCGCGCATGGCGGTTGCGGGTGGCGGAGAGGGTGCGGAGGAGATCGAGGCGGGGGAGCCGATGCTGGCGAACGGAGCAGACGCAGGTGCTATCAACGGCGATAACATGAGTGGCGGTAATAAGCGTGACGATAATAAGAGTGGCGATAGTATGAGCGGCCCGACGGGCGGTACTACTAATATGAGGGGAGACATGGGAGACATGGCGGCGCTGAATCTGCTCGAGGAGGAAGAGGGGATAGCGGATCCGCCACTCAGCATCTACTCCATACTCACCTTCTCATGGGTAATATTTCCCCCCTTCCCGCTACTCCCCACCCCCCCCCCCCCCCCCCCCCCCCAACTCCCCCAACCCTCCCCCCTCCCCCCCCCCCGCCAGCTGTTCCTCCTCCTCCTCCTCCTCCTCCTCCTCCTCCTCCTCCTCCTCCTCCTCCTCCTCCTCCTCCTCCTCCCCTCCTCCTCTTCCTCCCCCTCCCCCTCCTCCTCCTCCTCCTCCTCCTCCTCCTCCTCCTCCTCCTCCTCCTCCTCCTCCTCCTCCTCCTCCTCCCCCTCCTCCTCCTCCTCCTCCTCCTCCTCCTCCTCCTCCTCCTCCTCCTCCTCCTCCTCCTCCTCCCCCCCCCCCTCCTCCTCCTCCCCCCCCCCTCCTCCTCCTCCTCCTCCTCCTCCTCCTCCTCCTCCTCCTCCTCCTCCTCCTCCTCCTCCTCCTCCTCCTCATTAATCGCTCCATCACTCGTTATTGTGTCGCCGTGATCCATATCCCATCCCTCTTATCCAACCCCTTCACTCCCTCCCCTTCTCCCCACTCCCCTCCTCCGCCGCGCCTTCCTCCCCCTCCCTCCTCCCCGCCCCCAGCTCTCCCCCCTCATGGCGCAAGGTGTGCGCCAAGTGCTAGGCCCCAGCGACCTGTACCCCCTGCCTTCCGCCTTCTCCGCACAGCACCTGGGGGCGAAGCTCAGCGCGCTCTGGGCAAAGCGCAATCCCCCCCCCGGGCAGCAGCGGAGGGGGGAAACGGGCGCGGGGAAGGGAGGTGGAGGGGGAGGGGGAGGGGGATGGGCGGGGCGGTACTGGGCGGTGTGTGTGTGGCCGTTCAGGTGGCGGTTGACGCTGGTGGCGGTGCTGATAGTGGCGGAGTCCGCCCAGCGCATCCTCTCCGCCTTCCTGCTGCGCCAACTGGTGAGAGGGGCGCCTGGGTGCTGTGGAAGGGGAAAAAAGGGGGAGGGGAAGCTGGAAAGGAGTAGGCTAGGCGGAGGGGAAGAGGGTGGAAGGTGGGAAGTGGAAAGGAGATAGGGCTGGGAAAGGGGGAATGGGGAAGGATGGGGATTGGGGATGAGGAGAGATGATGGTAAGCCGATAGCTGTATGGATGGACGGTGGGCGGAAGAGGGTAAACGGGGCGGGGTGGGGGCGAGTGAGGGGGTGTTGATGTCGGTTTGCTTTGGCCCATCCCTGGGCAGCGACTTGGCATGGCATGGCATGGCATGTATTGTTGGGCCATCTCGGAAACATTCTTTCTCTCTCTGCCCTCCTTGTCTCACCCCCCTCGCCTTCCCAGGTTCGCTTCTCACAAGCCGCACAGGACCTGGAAACAAGCGACCCGGCGTGGCGGGGTTTATGCTGGCTGGCAGTGCTGATGGGGCTGCTCCCTTTCCCCTTCTCCCCTCCCTCCCCTCCCAGCCGATCCGGCGTGGAAGGGGTACCTACTGTTAGTGCTGATGGGGCTGCTGCCTTCCCCTTCCCCCATCCCATCCGCCTCGCTCCCTTCATATTTTCCCAGGTTCGTTTCTTGCAAGATGCACAGGACCCGGAAACAGCCGACCCGGCGTGGCGGGGGTACCTGCTGGCGGTGCTGATGGGGCTGCTGGCGCTGGGCTTCGCGCTGCTGCACCATCAGATCTGGAACCTCTCGCAGATCGTGGGCTGGAACCTGCGCGTGGCGTCCATGACGCTCAGTGAGTGTGGGGGATGGGGGGTTGTAGTGTCCCTGCCCTGGCTTGGCGCGTTTGGGGCAAGAGAGGGTGGAATTGGCTGTGCTGCATATTAGGCGACATCTGGAGCCTCCTGCTGCTGCACCATCAGATCTGGAACCTCTCGCAGATCGTGGGCTGGAACCTGCGAGTGGCCTCTTCTATGACCCTCAGTGAGTGTGCTTGCTTGTAGTGTCTGTGGATTGTCGCTTTTGGAGGAAGGAGGAGAGTGGGGGGGGGATAGGGTTGCCAGCAGTGCGGCATGAGTAGTAGGTGGTACACATGAATGATAGGAACTTCACACTTCTGCACCATCAGATCTGGAACCTCTCACAGATCGTGGGCTGGAACTTGCGAGTTTCTTCCATGTAGCTGAGTGAGTGAGTTTAACAGAAGTGACTTTCAGAATGCTGAGTAGCTGATGTAGCGCATGTGTTGATTGAGCACACTTTTGAGGCGCCTCAAAAGTCTGAGTAGCTGATGTAGTGCGTGTGTTGATTGAGCACATCGTTAGGCGCACCTCACAGCATGCACACTCATCCACATGTGCGATCCCCATGTGTTTCGGCGCGCCTATTCAACCCCCTAGCCGTCGATTTCCTTGCACACTGCCAGTGGGGACCTTTCGCTTTCACGCACTCCGTCTTATATAGTTAACGCCTCGTTTCTACTCTGACTTGACACACCTTGTCTCACGCTCCTCCCTCTCCGCCAGTCAACAGCAAGCTGCTATCGCTCAACGGGGGAGCACTGACGCGCATCACCACGGGCCACTGCATCACACTCATGTCTAACGACGTGCGCCGCTTTGATGAGCTCCCCATGTTCGCGCAGTTCCTTTGGGCGGTAAGTGTTCCTCTGCTGCCATCCATGCTGCTCCTCTTTCTCTCCCGCTTGCTCGCTCGTTCTCAATGCTTCCCCATCGTGGCCCTGCTACTGCCTCTTCCATGGGACAGGGTCCCCTTGGAAGTTGGAAGCTGGCACTGGTGACAAAGCTGCTCATTGTGCTGCTGCCAGCCTGCCACTCCCACCCCATTCCATCCACATAGGTCCAAACCCCTCTGGAGCTGCTAGTGGTGACCACGCTCATAGTCCTCAAAGTCGCCGCTTAGCCTGTTCACGCCTCATCTGCCCGATTCGCCATGCCATCCCATCCATACCTACTCTCCTGTTCCCATTATGCTTCCCTCCCCCATCCCCATTCGCCCAGGCCCCTCTGGAGCTGGTAGTGGTGACGGCGCTCTTAGTCCTGGAAGTGGGGGCCCAGCCTGCGTTCGCTTGGAAGCTCCTTTCCTTCCTTCTCACCTCCCACCCCACTCCTCGCGCTCCCTTCCCCCATCCCCATTCGCCCAGGCCCCTCTGGAGCTGGTAGTGGTGACGGCGCTCATAGTCCTGGAAGTGGGGGCCCAGCCTGCGTTTGCTGGCATTGCGGCCCTCCTTGCGCTTATTCCGCTGCAGGTGAGAGAGTGGAGTGGGGTACTCAGGCGCTAAATCCTGGTGCATGGGGATTCGAGTTGGAAATCGTTTTTCTGGGTGGGCATGCACTGGGGATTGGGGTGAGGTCCTGGGGGGTTTGGGGGTAACAGGTGGGTGGAGGTAGGGGAGATATGGGGAGAGGCTGTGTCAATCATGTGTCTGTCTGCTGTCATTGCTGCTCTCCTTGCGCCTCTCATTGCTTCTGCTGTTCCGTCACCCTTCTCCCCTCACCCTTCTCCCCCCTCACGTTTTTCTCCTCACCCTACTTCTCTCGCTTTTCTCCCCCACCCCCTTGCCTCCCCTCACCCTTCCTTCCAGGCCCTGTTCGGGCACTTTTTTGCCAAGCAGCGGCGCAGGACAGTAGAGTTCACAGATGCGCGGGTCAAGATGACAGGCGAGGTGTGTTTGCGTGATGTGCTGGGGAGGTTGGGGCTGAGGGGTTGGGGGTTAGTGAGGGGTGGGGGAGAGGAGTCGTCCTAGGACAGGTTTAAGCAGATTGTCTTTGCCAAGCAGCAGCGCAGGACAGTGGAGTTCACAGATGCGCGGGTGAAGATGACAGGCGAGGTGTGTTATGGTGGGGTGTGGTGGCTGTGGTGGGGTGGGGTTGGTTCTGGGTGGGGGTGGGAAAATGGGAGTTGTAGGACAAGTCTTCCCACGCAAGCAGCAGCGCAGGACAGTAGAGTTCACAGATGCGCGGGTCAAGATGACAGGCGAGGTGTGCTGAGGAGAGGGGAGGCGAGGGAATGGGAGATGAGAGGCGGGGAGCTCTGTGTGTGTCCTCTGTTGGGGAAAAAGGGTGGGGGTGGGGGAGAGGAACGGGGTTGATGCAAGCAAGAGGCATGGCATGGCATGCAAGTATCTTATTCACTCCGCATCTTCACACATAAGAGCACCAAGGAACCAATTTCCTATCCTAGCCAAGTGCTGGAGCCACAAAGCATGATGCCTGTTTGACCCTGGCGTCTCTGTGCTTCGCTGTGCCCCCTTCT